TTTTTATTCTATTATTGTAGCAACTGCAGCACTTTATACAAAAATATCAAACAATTCCATTTTTTCAAGATCCCGTAAAGGATTATTCTTATTAAAATAAATTTAGTATTCATTCCTTATTTTATATGAATTATGTCATTTTAATTTCTCGAAATTAATTAATGTTTTTAAATCAATATATATTAAATGAATATTATATTAAATGAATTTTACAGACCCAGTGATAGTAATTTTTTGTTACAGATTTTCAGAAGAGTTAAACGCATCTTTACGTTATTTTATTAATTTATGGATTGCCATCTAGTACATTAGTGAATCCAAATGAATAAGATTTATCCATGCTAATGTTGAGGCATTTCACCATCAAAATATTTTAATGATAAATTTAATTATTTGCATCACTTGCACTACACTGAGTTAATTTATACATTAAAGGCTGCTTTATATAAATAAAATGGTAAAATATAATCAACTTTGAAAATGAAATAACACATGTAACATTCTGTTAAGTAACATATTATTGGACATTCAATCGCTAAAAATATTTATTCAGATAGATTTTATATTCAAGTAGTTTTTTAATACTACTTTAGTGCAGTACGAGTGATTGAATTTACCATTAGAATATTTTAATGGTGAAATGCCTTAATACTCGCATGAATTACTTTTATAGCTAATTCAGTTAAGTCAACTCACTAATATGCACTAGGTGCATAAATATATAAATGCATTTGATTAGTATTAGTACATAAATACATTTAACTTTATTTAATTTCATATTTAACAGTTTTTAATATGTACTTCTAGAGAGTAAAATGCAAGTGATCAAATTCGCTATAAGTTATCTCAGGTGAGTGTCCTCAAGTATATAGATTTATGCCCGTATTCATAATGACCTTGTACTTAAGGCTTTCTTAAATTTATCTTTAGATGCTTAGCAGTCAATGAAATAATTCATAGAGTATCTAAAGATAAATTTAAGGAAGCCTTAAATATAAAGCCTGACTATGAATACGAGTATTAATCCTTATTGAAAAATCTGTCAGTACATGGACGTGGACAATTTCTAGAGACTTGTTCGCAAGCCTCTTCATTTACCGCTGGCACCGAGGTAAGGAACACGATTTCACTGCCGGAAGAGATGCGAGCTAGCGCCTTCAGTCTATATTTGCCGTCGTGTTCGGCGAGATTTTTCAGAGCATTTATCTGCGCCGGCAGCAGACCATTCTGCCCGACGACGGACGCACCGCTACGCACGCTGGACACAGTGACGTTTCCCCGTTCTGTGAATACGGGTACCGGATCGTCGTTGAACGCGTGCCATAACCTCAATTGTAGCCAACCGTCGTACTCGAGCTCGCTCTGAAAGATTTCCTTGCGTTGTGAATACGCACATAAAAACCCACTAACATTTTCAAGAGATTGCCGGAGAGTTAACGATTCGCTTACCCCGCAGATGAGCGAAGATACGCTAAGCAGTGCACCGACGATGACATACAATGAATGCATCTTTACGCGACTCGGCGCTGACGGGCGCACTAACAAGGCTAATTACGAAACCATCAACGCAGGGCCACGTATCGTTTGTGTAACGCTGATTTCCAGGGATGTGACAGCTACTACTGTGGCCATGTTAAATCATAGATCCGTGAAGATTGTGAAATCTCGTCAACTGAAAACACTCATCAGCAGCAACAGTAGGAGGAGACGATCACGTTCAATTACATTACGCGTGGATGAGCTACATATACATATCTATATACGCCGCGCGAAGGTTATATACAACCGTGGCCGTGGTAGTATAGTACTATCTATATGTGTATAATACTCGTGGTCATATATTATCGATAAGGTTCATCCGAAAGCGAAAAAAATATACGCGTATTTGTTAGCAGCGATTATTATTATCTAAACATTTTAAGCAATCATAAATTTATTCTTTATTAATGAGAATTCCAATTAGTTCGATTTAACCCAAGTGAAAATAAAAATCAGAGTATAAGTCAAATGTAGGAGATGAGAGTGATAATAGCGTAAACAAAGCTTTTAGAAGGAAATTGAGACATTAACGAAATGTAAAAGAGGCGTTTACGTTTCTTATGTTACGTTGTCTCAATTTTCGCTTCCTAGAAGTTTCGTTTACACACATATCTGTTACTCTCCCCTTACATTCGTCTTACATTCCAATTTTTATTTTCACCGGAGAAGTATCAGTTAAGGGAAGTAATAGGAGAAAACGACAGAAAATGTAATGCGGTTGACGAAATTTGAGACATCCTATGTCTCAAATTGACACAATCGATATAGATAACGATCGTTTTATTTTTTTTATTATATATATATATATATATTATCGGGGATTAGGTATAAACAAAATATCTTAATTAAAACATACTATTATTAGGATCCTCAATAATTATTATTATTATTATTAATGTTTGATTTAAAACGGTACAATATCGTGTGCTATTACAATTTGTAGATCCTAGAAATATGATATATCTCAAAAAGTTATAACTGCTAGATAATTGCACGATAAAGTTAATTGATTATTTCTGCGACGAGAGGCCGCATAAGATCACACTAATTAGTTATATTCAGGGTAAATACTAAGTATAGAATACTAAGTATTTTATAAGATTTTAAGAGGTGATTCCTCACATATAAATTTAAGACGAAGACTTTATGATTTTATTTTATATCATTATGTGTGAAACAGCTTAGTTTTAAAACTACGGATGTCAAAGTTGAAGGAAAATTTTCGTTTTTTCTAAATAAATTTTGAAAACCATATCTGGATAAATATTCTATTCCTTCTAAAAGCTTCGTTTACGCTATTATCAGTCTCACATTCGACTTATATTCTGATATTTATTTTCATTTGGGTTAAATCGAACTAATTGGAATTCTCATTAATAAAGATATATTATAGGTTTATGATTGCTTAGAATGTTTAGATAATAATAATCGCTGCTAATAAATACACGTATATTTGGATAAAACTTTAAAAAATACACAAAATTTCAGCAAAATAATCCAAGCAGCTTTCGAAATTTTTGGTAAAAATTGAAAATTTTCCTTCAACTTAACTGTATCTTTGAAATTAATCATCATTTGGGACACCCCTGACGGAAAAAAAAATTTTACGGAAAAGTACAGAAAAACTGTATAGATTGAGACAAAATCTTGAAAATTCTTAATTTTTCCTAGATATTTGTAGTGGGACATAGAGTGATATTATTGTTTAGAAATTTTTAGTTTTTCATAGAATATTCTTAATAAGACGTAAAGTGAAGCACTATATAAAATTGTTTGTTATTTGAACAAGTTCAAATAAGCTGCCAAATTTTTACAGCACACTGAAATTTTTATTTTTTATAGGTAGGAGCCATGTATATTCGATATACAATTCCAACTTTTTGTTTATATACCATATACAATATATTTGTGTCGTGTTGTACTGTTGTTGGATAGCGCTATATGTTGAACACTGTATTGTGTTTCACTTTATTGTGTTTTACTTTATTGTGTTTTTTGCTGGAAAAATCCCCTTAGTATCCACCCTGTATATTATGTTTTTCTCTGCAATCAGAGTGCAAATACGAACAATGATATATGCTTAAAATATCTGCTTCTTCGCCTATCTATTCGTATAGATCAATATATCGTACAGATCTAGAATCTTTTCTCAATACGAATATTTTTATTGATATCAATAATTCGAATTTATTATACAAATCAATGTTTCTCGTGATATTTATTCGTCAATAATTAAATCTGAAGAGACAGATTTTGAGCAGAGTCCGCTATAAAAAAAAATTTCTGGTGCCAGAAAGGCAATAAATTTCACATAAAATCTATAATAAATCTGACGATATTAACAAATTGTTGTTATAGAAATTTGATTAGAATCTGTTGACTGACGGCAAAAATCAAACACAATTTTCTTAATTTGAAAGTCAATAATTTATACATTTTACAACAGAAAGTGTGATACGTCTTTTGCAAGTCATTATGATATAATATGTTAAACTAAATTCTTTATTAAAATCGCTACTACCGCTAGATGGACGCGAAATTCTATTTCTTATAGTTAAAAAACCGTATAAAATAAAAGGCGCAATATTATAAGATTTCTCAAATAGAATAGGATATACAAGGACCAGTTTTAAACTGGGAGCTCCAAAGAGAGTAGAGAGGCTGGAGGGACTTGAGGCTCGGGGGTATTTCATGCATCGGTGGTAGGGTCTGAGGGAATAAGAGAGGGCAGAAATGCGTCATTAGAGGTGTGATGTGCGGGATAATAAAAAGGAAAATACGTCACTAGGCGCGGGATCCATAAAGAAAGGGTCTACTCTCTTATCAATAACATTTCGAGATACCAACATAATGCAACATAATGTACGACTTTTCTCGAATTTTCTTTGGGGTTCTTTGGGGAAAGGATTGATAATGCAAAAAAATATTTCAAATGAAAATAGAAAAGTTTTCAAAGGAAACATATTTTGATTACATTTTATTTTCTAGATGGATGCACCAAAAAGATATGAAGATCATCTGCACTTTTTAAATAGAATTAAGATATGAATATTTTTACATAATATAATTCCTCTAATTCTGCATATAAAAATATATTAAAGTAGAGATATTTAAAATCAAATATATAAAAAACCAAAATACGAAATATGTCATACTTTATTCTGGCACATATTAACATCATGCAATAGTAAATATTTCGTAAATCAATGTTTTTTTATATCTCCATCTATATGTAAAATAATCATATTATGATTTCTTCAATTATTTTACATATAGAAGTATTAAGATATATATTATATAAGATATATAATATATATAAGACATATAGAAGTATTAAAAAAAAATCATATAATTCGCATTTAAAAAAATAAATCATCTAAAAAAGATAATCTTTATATCTTTATATCTTTTTAATGCTTCCATCTAAAAAAAAAACGTGACCAAAATATATTCCCCTAGAAACCGTTTCATTTTGACCTGAAACATTTTTTCGTATCATTAATAATTTCGAGAAATGATTGGATTGATTAAAATGGATCGTCCTGTATATTTTATATGTAGTATATATGTGTGTGTGTATGTAATTATATAGTGTTTGATAAATTTTAAATGAGAAACAGGTACTAACGAACACCTAGCAGTACTTTTGCAAATATTTAGTAACAACGCAGATTCGATTTTTGCTGTCGATCTATTAATATCAGGTTCTGCCAGCAAATTCTGATATTTCAATTTGTTGTCTGATTATGTGAACAGATCAATTCTGTCGACAGAACGAAAGAAGAATCCAATTGCAGTTGATGTCAATCTGTTGACATTTTCTGATCAAATCTGGCGACATTCTGCTAACATTTTGCTCATGGGGTATCTAAAGTCCCCTATACTTAAATGTTTTTATATTTTATTCAATTATTTTGGCAAATCTCTTAGATGCGATATTATTTTAATCTTTTAACTCCTTGTCATAGATAAAGACACCGAGACCTTCCCCGACTCTCTCCAGATTCGTCACATGATCGGCGATCTCTTTTATTGCGTCCACCTGCTCCTGCAGGAATTCAGTCTCCAAAAAATCCATGAAATTCGCATCGTTGTGTGTCGAAGCAATCCCGTGAAGCTCAAGCAGCTTCTATCAGAAATCAAAAGAATTAATTACGAATTAATTTATGATCAGAGATATGATCAAATATTTATGAATAAGATATAACATTCTTATAGAATAATATAGATTAAAATAATTAATTTTATTCTAATCTACGAGTAAAAAATGATTTCTTATTGAAAGAATATCTTATATAAACTATTGATTTTTTGGTATCTCCATCTTAATACTTTTATATGCAAAACAATTAGAGGAATCATATTATGTAAAAAAATCTATATAATAAGCAAAGAAAATAATAAATAATATAAATAATAAATAATATCAATAATATAAATAGCATGAATAATGAATAATGAATAATGCAAATAATAAATAAAATTTTATTTAAATATTAAAAATTATTTAAATATTTAAATGTCCAACTCCATTTACGATTTTGCGTCAAATTATAGCGAAAGCGGTCACGCACATATCGTGAAATAAGAAAAAAAAACTGCTTGTGGAGGAGCTGGGATTTGAACCCAGGACTTTCCGCATGCGAAGCGGACACTCTACCACTGAGTTACACCCCCAATCGCTACTTTGTAACTTCAAATCACAGTACTTCAACGTACATATGTATTTAGCGAAAGAATTATACTACCTATAATAATTAAATTAACGAATAGCACAAGAAATCTTGAAACTCAATTAGCGGAACACGCCAAGTTGAACTTTATTACTACTTTCTGATCTGTCCGACTCACAAGCGAAATGTCCATTTTAATGAAACCTTATATATACATACATAAATCACATAAATAAATAAATTTAGAAAATATTCTTTCCATTATATTTCAGAAATTAATGAGGATAAAATATTTCATACAAAATTTTATAATAAAATTACT